GATTAAAATAAAATTAATGAAATTTAGAAGGGTAAAACTATAAATTTTCTAGAAGAACCATAATATGCACAACGGTTGCCACCCGTGCGTGCACGATGCACAACCGTCACCTGCATGCTTGCGTAGCCTTTGCGATGCGTGTGCAATGCGCAACCATCGCCTGCACACTTGTGTAGCCTTTACGATGCCTGGCCATCACCTGTGCGATTATCACATGTGTGGCCAACTCGATGCACTACCATTTCCTGCATGGCTATCGCCTACACGACCAACCTAGCGCACGGCTCGTGGTCATCGCCTACGTGGCCATTGCGATGCGCGGCCAATGCGGCCACCTTGACATGCGGCCATTGTTGTGTGCAATCGCCTCCTGCTATCATGGTGCACATGCGCTACCCGGCATAGTCGCCCGCTACCAACAAATTTGTCGTAGCAGTTAGCAGATCCACCGTAGAGGACCACACATAGCGGTGCTATTGCAGTCGCTATGGTTGTCGTTGCCAGCGGTGTTGCTATCGCCATCATGCATAGCGCTATTGTACAATTAACACAACCGTCATAGGGCTGACGATCATTGAATATTGCAACCCTCAACAATATTATCTTCGATAGCAAGCTGTGAACGATAATCCATTGATCTAATACAAGAAATCTCACGTCGCCCGCAAGCAGACGACAAGACGGAGCAAATAGGAAGATAGATCGATAATATACATGGATCATTCAAGTATCATAAATTAGAAAACAATATATCTAACGTATTTGATTTCAAAAAACTCGGCTTTGATACCAATTATAAGCATAAAACTATAATATGCTATATGTTACAAGGAAAAAATTTAATGCCAGGATTGAAATCAAATAACAATATATCATATTTACGACTCATATCTTTCGATGTCATCTGGAAAAATCTTTATCTGATATGAAGCGACACCGTCTTCAAATTCGAAAATCACGATGATGTCAATTTGTAAAGAGAATTAAACTCTCTGTCTCCTCTCTTATCATCTTTTCACATGACCACTTAGATCAATAGAATATAAACAAAAGAGGATGATAGAAAAATCATAATCTCTCAATGATTATCACGTATCCATGCCCGTCTCATCACATGTCAGATTCTAAATAAATAATTAAGAGAGTTCTTCCCATCAAGATTATCTCTTAAGAAAAGGAATCCTATCATAATTGGATTTCCTTTCTATTGTGATAACTATCATCGTAATTTAATCAAATTTATAATATATTTTATTAATTAGAGAGGATCATATAATTTAATGATTCTAACAAATCCCAAGCTAAGCTAACATATGTGTCTTGTCGAGGTGAACAGGGTTGTGTGGGGTTGCTTTAACCTGATCCTGCCTGGTTTCTGTCATGGCTCCTTCTCAATGATGGCTCAGTTTGGAATCTATGTCAAGAATTGAATGGTAGGAAGGCTCTCCACAAACCACTCTACTGTTTCTGCTGCCGTTGCCTCTGTCTAGTAACACTGACCGGTCTTCAATTCCTTTCTGACCTTCTCGATTGTTCTTCTACCCTACCCTAACAAAATACGATGTGAAAAGAGGCCAAAAAAAAAAAAAAAGAGAGAGGAAGAAAAGTGGTGAGAATCTGTTGGACAAGATAAAAATAAAATATTTAAATATAGTTTTTTAATATTAAAAATTTTCATACTTTTTATGCTATGAACGCCGTCTATAAATAAAGATTACGAAACATATCTTGAAGAATTTGTATTTATCGTCGTGGAGTTATCATAAGGTTCACGTACATTTCCATAGTGACTCTGTTTAATCAATTCTTAATTTTTTTATATATATTTCCATGGTGTCTCTTCCTAATACAATAGACTAAAAACTAAATCAAATTTCGACATCCCCAATAAATTTAATTTATTTTCATCATTCACTTAAACTAGACACTTAAATATGAAAATTAATTTCGATTTGAGGGGCCTGTGTATCTTTCTTCTTTTGTATCATCTTTTTATTTCTTTATTCTTTTTTTATTTTTTTAATGTCCCAACCTCTATCACAATCGCATTCACTTAAAAGTACAATCTTTAAAGTTTACCTTTGTTCGGAAGATCTCTCGTACTTGCATGGGAGTACGTGTTGATGATCCAAACATTTTTTATTTTTCATATAAATATTTACAGATTAGGAAGAGTATTTCCTGTGTTTTGTTCATTCAACGCCTCACAGATCAACCTGAAATGATCTGATGTTGCACAGCCTTTCCTGCTACTTGATTCTTCGCTTGTTGTTGGCTCATTGTTGCTGATTAGCTTTGCTGAAGTAGTTGCCATGCAGTTTGGGTTCTCATTTTGCTTGGATCATTCTGCACCTGCCATGTTTCTCTCTCTCTCTCTCTTTTGCTTTGTTAAACACATGCTGGACTTGTGAAGAGGTAAGGGTAGTACTGAGAGTAGAGTCAAGACAAAGGAGATCAAGATTACAAGATATATATATACATATATATAAGATATATATGTATATACATATATATGTATGTATATATGTATATGTATATATATATATATGTATGTATATATGTATGTATATATATATATATATGTATATATATATATACATGTACATGTATATATATATATACATGTATATGCATATATATATATACATATACATGTATATGTATATATATCTCTCTTTAAAAGCTTAAAATTATCTTATTTTTGTACATTTACCTAATTTAGGTGAATTCACAACAACCTTTGAGCCAAAAACCACTTGAATATTATCAGGTAAGAGTGTTTTGATGTTCTGAGGAATCTATTTGATTTGTAACATGGAAATGCAGGAAGAATAGCAATTATTTACTCATATATGGATGATTAATTTATACTTGATCATAATCCTAATATAACTCATAGATTTCAGTCAAAATTTAATATGCTAATATACTAGTTTTGATTTCATAGTAATACTATGCTTGAAGCTTAGCAATGCTGAGAGTGGCATAATGATGAATAATACTTTTCATAAAGATTTTTGGCAGTCATATATACTTGCCATTAACTAAGACTAATACATGTAAAGAGACGATCTATCAAGGAGATATACGAAGAATTTAACCAAAAAATTTCATTTTCAGGTGATAAAGGGAATTCTAGAGCATCCTAATGAGACTCCTGATTTGATAAATTTTATACCCAAAAAATTTTTATTTAACTTGATATATTGTTAATGATTATATTGGTATAATGAAGACCGAAAAGAGTATATATTTTTTCATAACGTTTAAAGTAACTTAACGGTATCTACGGTATCTGACACGAGAGTGAGTGAGGATGATGTTAACACTTTAGTACTGTACGATCGATATCCCAGCATTATGTAGTTGACATCTCAACATTACGTAACCAATATCATGGCACCATGTGATTGACTCCTCGGATCCACATGGACGGTATATATTTGACATCTCAACATTACGTAACCAATATCATGGCACCATGTGATTGACTCCTCGGATCCACATAGACAGCATATATTTGACATCTCAAGACCACATTGGGAGATAACTTGATGTCACATGATCTAATCGGTTGAATCGTTATCACGCTACCAAACTTTGAGCGGCACGATTGTAATTAAGACTAATAGGAACATGCAATTGCTCCCCGTAACCGACACTAATCATAGAAGCAATAATCATAAAAGCTCATTATAAAAAAAAGGCTCCCAAGTGTGTTCCTCACTCTCTAAAATGCAACTTTAAGTTTTTTTTTAATCTTAGAACCAACTCAAGCATCACACGGATATTTGTTATTTGTTATGAATACTTCTAATCTAGTTTATAGGGTTTAATATCTTCAAAGTTGGATGCACCGATCATAATTTAATATCAAACCGAGACAAATGTAGAAAAGAATCTCAATTGATTTTAAATCGACTTATAATCGAGACAATCAAAAACTAATTTAAGAATAACCTAAGAAATAATAGATTATAATAGTATCAACAATAGAGATAAAATATATCACAACACCACCGTATGCATAAGCAAACTATCTCCAGATGTCTAAATCTAAAGAAGAAGTGGCATCAGATATTTTTATAAAAAAACTCTTCAGCTTTAAAGATATCCAAGAATTACAGGAGAATTAAATAATTATAATTTTCTATAAAATGGTTGTATGCCTTTATCATTATCTGAATGTTTCTCTGAGCACCCATCTCTCAAATCATTGCAGTCGATGGAGCTTCTTGTTCTACCATATCCAATAAAGGAAAAGAAGAGGAGAATTTTATTTATATAAAATCTATCAAAATTATGATGTGTGAATAAATAAAAATATATGAGCACTTTTTCCGCGTATAGATCCTACGCAGTAGAAGCTTACTGCGTTGCTCCGTACTATCATAATAGGAGATCCGTACTGAACTAATTTTAGAGCGTCTTAATTTGGGGTAGATAGATTGATGCAGTAGCAGTGATAAAGGAGTCAACCCTTGACTTTTACGATTGAGGAGAGTCTTTGGCGGCTTCGCGACGTTTAAAGCATCCGACCCGAATATGCCACTTTTGGGTTATTATGGGTTGACCACACGGCCAGAGAATTCCTCCGACAAAATGCCGTCGGTTCCTCTTCGTACTCGGGCCGACATGTACATCCCCAGCGGCAGGCTCGACCTCGCGGGCCCAAGTTAATCGGGTCCGAACGGTAAAGCATGGAGACAGTTGCGGGGATAGCCATCGGGGACGTGTCCTCGAATGAATACCGTTCGCAGCAAAGCCCGCGACGTGGACCCTCCTGCCTGAGGCTTATTTACTCGCACACGACGCACCGCCGATGGACATCACGTACATTCACGGCCCGCGCGAGGACCGTCGCCCATCGGACCCACCTTCGGAGACCAGCTCGGTAACTCACAACCACGTGCTGGGTATTCGAATGGGTACCGACGGTATCTCTGGAAAATGATAATAATAAAGAAGAGGAATGACCAACGACCTCACCATCCTTTGGTTCTGTCGAAGGCGACGCGAGTCACTCGCTCGACCTCGTCACCCTCGGCTCGGTCCGGGGGATAAGAGTTTGGGGATCGGCGCCTCGGCGGAGGCGGCGTGGGATGGCGCCGCGGAGAGGGAGGGTGGAGATGCGGCGGATCGAGGACCGGACGAGCCGCCAGGTGCGCTTCTCCAAGCGACGGAGCGGGCTCTTCAAGAAGGCCTTCGAGCTCGCCGTGCTCTGCGATGCCGAGGTCGCCCTCCTCGTCTTCTCCCCCGGGGGGAAGCTCTACGAGTTCTCCAGCGTCTCCAGGTACGCCGCCCTCCCCCTGCCCCCGTTTCCATCCACCACCTCCTCCATCACTCGGGTCCCGCTGTCGGAACCCTAGGTGTTGGATCCGTCCGTTTCGTGGTAGGCCTTCGGTCACCACCTCTCTCGTTCTTGACGCGGCGGTGGCATAGAACATGATCGCCGATGCGGGAACGGGAGAGGGGATCTTAGTGTGTTATGGCTTCCCCTTTCACTTTTCCGGGACACTGATAGCTTTGATTTGGTTCTGTTCGAGGCTGGACCATGCGGCATGCATTGCCACTTGCCTGAACTTTGCGTGCGAGTATAGTTTAATGTCTTGTCGTGTGTTCTGACATGCCTTATCATTCCAATTACATGTGTATCTCTTCCTGCTGTTTGATAAGCAACATACTTTAGAGTTACAGTTTCATGCTTGTTCTTTATTATATCTTTTATCTAGGAACAATAGTTCGTCTTGTCTTTGGTGATATTTCCTATTATCTCGATGTGTCAGTTGCCATGGCTGCATCCGTATAGTCATCGTTTTCAGAATATTACCTACATTTAGATGCTAAAGCCATAGATTATAGTGGACTTGAAGGCTGGGATGAGAAGATTTTTCTTGGGCACCTCAATTTGCTGACATGAGACACGTGATTCATGTAAATGGGAAAAAAAATAAAATCCTTGAAGCTAGTTCTTTTGATAATCGAACTCTATTGTTTGGTGGCCTATAGAACGTTACAATGTTTGCATTAGGTTGTCTTTAGGGAGGCATCATTTTAATCGTCTCGCATATGATTCATGGCCATTATAATGGTTGAAGCCATGCACATCTTATGTTAAGAGAAACCAAATTTCGATGCCTCCATCCTCTCCTCTTTTGGTGGAAAAGTAGGAAGGGAGGTGAGAAACACAAGGACGGATATATGGCATCGAGTAGGAGGTAATGGATGATGATGCAACTTAAGTTTCACTTATAAAAATAGGTGATTAAGTCGTTGATGGGCATATAGTAAAGAAAACCATCAACTTTGGTTGCTTTTGACATCATCTATAGACTTCTTAGTTCATTATAACTCTTTATTTTCCCGAAATGTTAATCCATCTCAAGTCCAAGTAGATTTGGGTAGTTATTTCCCATGGGCAGTAAAACTCTAGGCTGTTTTATATATTAATATGATTATTTATTAGTCTTTAATTTTTGTTTCTTTTGTGAGTACATTATTTGCTATTGCCAATGAGTCTCCCTTAAAGTTTACTATCTATAGTTCTTCAATTCTATGCAATGTTGTATAGGAAATTGACCCAAAAATTAACAATTATTTTGAAAATTAAGACAACTTCTATTAAGCATATTACAATTTATTGCTTGAAATTGGTAAATGAAGTGTTCTATTTTAAACAAAAAATTTTTGAAAAAAAAAAGGAGTGGAGTTATCCGAGGGAACTGAATGTATAGGACTTGAATACCATAATATATATGATATGACCATAAGTTTTTAAGTGGTGTTCTTTTCTTTTATTTCTCTCTCTTTTTAACATGGGACTATTAATTTACCACTTTATCTCTTTTTGATCTGATTTCTCTAATTTAACATTGTGTGGGCCTACAAGTAACATTAGAGAGGGCTTGTCCAATAACATGATTTAAAGATCCTGACACCATAGTGATAGTGTTATCAATAATTGATCGGTATTGACATTAATTATTTTAAGTTTTCTTATAAAAGCAATCATATTGAAGATTTTATAACACAAGACATGGCACGAAAAGAACTCGGGTTGATGTTTAAATATTTGAAATATGTAGTTTGATAATTTTTGCTTTTTCACAATATTGCCAAGGTTGATGAGAAATATTGTTTTGGTTTGTCCTTCAAAAGAACTCAGGTCAAAGTTTAAAGATTTAAGAGATGTCTGATAGCTTTCAATTTCCCACCTATTGCAAAGTTTAATGGAAGACTCTTACGTGTAGAAAATTAGGCTGAAATCTTTTTTTACAATAATAGGCTTAAAAGACTTGCAAAATTTGCTTAGGACTAATTTTCAAGATATGACTTACTTACAGTTTAAAGTAATATCCTATGTGAAGATGTGTAATCCGAAGCATTTTCACGTGGCATAGGATTTTTTAATATGAAAGAGAATATAAGAGCATATGCTTCATGATAATAGATGAGTATGTGTTATCATGCAAATTATGGCCAACCAAGTCAGATTAACTTAAGGTGTTGTATTTATTTCGGATTTGAAGCACTCTGCTCTAACTATTTATATGTGTAGGAGAGATCAATCAGCTAACAAATTCCATGAACATCATAATTTTAATTGAGGCAATGAGATATTATTCACCACTTCATCCTAAGGTGAAAATATCTTTTTTAACACTCAAATCATAAGGGACTATAATGAATATAATCTAGCCCTAATCTTTCCTTAAGTCTTTACTAGGTTCCTTGTCCTAGTTGGAACAAGAGACCACATCAAGATCTTTTCTAATTTGATAAGCTTGAACCACATAATTCAAGGTTGGTCATTTATATTCCTTTCTAATTTGATAAGCTTGAACCACATAATTCAAGGTTGGTCATTTACATGCTTTCACCCAGTGTTATTCTAGTCATGGATAAATCATCCGGATTTAGATCCATGAGGAATGACTATCACTAAATAAAGACACTATACTTATGGCTATGGTTGGATTCTTTAACTTAGCCACTGCCTATGAGTCAATTTAATACTTATCAAGGTGCACAACCCCTAAAGAGCAATGATCTTATTTGATTGGGGTTTGTATACCATAAGTGAATTAGGAATTCACATATATTTTTAACACTATTTCGGGAATGATATTGCTAGACCTCTAGTGCCTTGTTTAGTGTAGTATTTGAAAGCCCTAAATCCCTAAAGTAGATATATTATATGTCATAATAGTTATTTTTATTTGTATTTGAAAGTTGTAAAATTTTGCAATAATGAATTTTTTTGGGATATGAAAGTAACTTCCATTCTTCAAACACATGATTATAACATTTTTGTTCCGTTGTACATTATATATATATAGGGCATCAAACTTACTGCATTACATGTCGATAATATCTCTTATAAATAAGAAATGTCAAATTGGCTAAGAGTTTATGCTAGTCTAGACACCTCATTGGTCATGAGGTTTGAAAACACTAGTTAACATGTTGCTACTACTAGTGGTCATCTCTGTAGGATTAGAGATTCACTACGATGTATAGTAGATTTCACCCTACTTCACACACTATGTTAAGTTACTACTCTTAAATCAATTTTTCATGATTCAAGTTTAATAATCTTGATTGAAGTTTCTCTATCAACCTTCGAAGTAAGATTTTTAATCTCAAATATAGATCCCCTATCAACCTTGACCCAGGCAACACGACATTGGTCCATGCTAACGTTCGAAGTATTGGTACACTAGTATATATTGAATTTTAAAAATATCCTTAAAAAGGTTAAAAATCAAGGTTGAATTTAAACTATTAAAAAAATCAAATGTAAAAGAAAGGCATACTTGCTCGGATTATACCGGTACATCTAGGACTAGTACGACTCCACTGTATCAAATTGATAAAATTATATATCAATATGGTGTATTTCTAGGACCAATGCATCAAATTGCTACAAGATTTGATATTGCTAAACAATGTGTCATTGATGCAATAACATGGTTCACAATTATCACTTTATCATCATTGATGACCCATGTGGCAAGTATGATCGTGGTTGGGATGACTCTAGAGGATAGAGTCTACAATTGTCGTTACAACACTATTGTTACATATTCGACTCAAAGAAAGATGATCAACATCCTCCATGCATATGTTGATCATTATGGGTAATGTTTCATTGTTTTATGGTTGTCAATTGTGAGATTTGGGTTGATATTATCGTCACGATCCTAGAAATCATCATACATCTACAATTTGATAGAAACCTTATCAAATTCGTCCTTGTTTGTCAACTTCTCCTTGAGTCGCAATACTTTCCAGAAACTCTACTTTGAAGATCCTTTTGGTTTCGTGGATCACTTTTGAGTTGCAACACCTTGACCGAAGTAGTCGCAATGAACTTATTGGCATGGTGTGCCTAAAAGCGATGACATGCGATCATGTAAGAATGAAAATTTGTTGCTTTTGAATCATTTATCCATAGGAAATTAACATATAATTAGATCCATAAAATTATTATATTTTCAAAGCGATGGTTGATCTAATGGATCTAGCCTTGATCCACATTATATCCTAGGTCCATGAGGATCGAGCCTAGATCCACCAAATCTAACTACATTAACCCAAAATTAAGTCCAAACTTTGAGACTATATAAACTTTGAGACTTAACATAGGCAAGCAGAAATATGGATAAACATATTACAATTTTTAACCTAATTTTGGTTACATTGTTAATTTCTAACAATTTAAGTACCTGACAATAATAAGTAAATGGACGTTGACCGAAGGCAATTACAGTCTAAATCAATTTATTTACAAGGTTTAAACAAATTAGCATCTCTTTTTCATGTATTTAACATTAAAAAAAAGCTCGACTAGACAAAAAATGTAAATTCCTTCATGCCTTTCTTCGGCAAGACCAGTGATCTATAAAGATATCTTGAGGTCCTAATACACTAAACCATTTGTTTACTTGTTTGTTGCTTGGACCATCCGATTAATTGGCATGTGTATGACGTCAGTTTTGCATGGCCTATTGGTTCATGACGAGACGTCAAAGAAAATTACTTATTAGTAAACTGTGTCTAGCTAATTCATGGTAGGACAATGTTGAAATTATTGTCTGAGTCGCTTGGATCTACTTTTTAGTAATAAAAAGTCAACCAACGCAGGATCTTGGAGGTGGAATGTTGAACTCTTTTTACTTTCCAATTAATTTTCTTGTCTCATTTTAGGAGGGAATTCTATAGTGTTATAAATAATGTGTAGCTAGTCACTGTGAATTTTGACAATCCATCAGATATTGCAGTCTTAAAATA